TGTGACTTGTGACTTTGACATGTGGATTTCTTTTGTATTTCTGATTCTTGTGTGCAACTCAAGCTTTCCTTTGTTGAGTTTAGACCTGCTTCTTTTTGTAAACTTTATATGCCTTTGTGGTTTATTTGTGAAAAGCTGATTTTTTTTTTTTTTTTTTTGCTGTGACTTTGACATGTGGATTTCTTTTGTATTTCTGATTCTTGTGTGCAACTCAAGCTTTCCTTTGTTGAGTTTAGACCTGCTTCTTTTTGTAAACTTTATATGCCTTTGTGGTTTATTTGTTGGGCATGAAAAGCTGGTTGGTCTAGGCTTCAGGTTCTCTCTTTTGATTTTATTTTGGAGGGGCCAGATGGCTTTCCTCCTGCTTGCTACTCAGGAGTTCCCACAGAGGCCCAAGCTAAATGAGGATCAGATGTTCTCAGGCTTTTTCCTAAGGTCTGGATCCCTCTAGTCAGGAGGCACAGTACAATATGGAAGGATAGCTAGGTAGAGATAGGATTCAGGACTCTCAGGCAGTCAGGGAAGGAGGCTGGTTTCAGGATTCCAGAGCAAGCAGGGAAGGATGTTCGGTCTCAGGAATCCAGGTTGGGGGTGGGGCAGCCAAGGATGAAGTGGTCTCAGGTATGCAGAGGCAAGGAAGGGGAAGGAGTAGGCCTGAGGACTTCAGGGGACTAGATTGATGAATTGGGTTCCTCTGGGCACAAAGGATCAGGAAACAGTGGGGAGTCTGGGCCAAGAGGGCAGTCCAGAGGTCTGGGGTGCCAAGAGAGTAAATGGGCCAGTACCCACACCAGGAGGAGAGAAAGGGTGGGGGAGCTGGGAGGGTGAATGAGGTTGTGGGAGTCAAGGTACAGTGGGCATGTTCAAACTTACCCAGGAAAGATGCTGGCCTCAGGAAGTTGGGGGCTGGGCTGGCCAGGGATGAGTGCCTGTCTCAGGCATGAAAACGCAAGGTGGGGGAGGGAACAGGCCCCAAGGGCTCCCAGGGACTAGACCAAAGCATTGGGTTGGTCTGGGTACAAAGGATCAGGAAGCAGTGGGGAGTCTGGGCCAAGAGAGCAGTCCAGAGGTCTGGAGTGTCCAGAGAAGAAATGGGCCAGTGCCCACATTAGGAAGAGAGATAGGGTGGGGGAACTGGGAGGGTGAACGAGGCTGTGCAATCATCATTCTAGTCCATCCAAAAAATGCCTTCTATTATTTTCTGTAGAGCTGACTTAGAGGTCACAAATCCATTTAGCCTGTTGTTAGAAGTGGTTTTCCGGGAAGGGAGAGATGACTCAGAGTTTAGGAGCACTGGCTGCTCTTGCAGAGGACCTGGGTTCTATTCCCAGCATCCACACAGCAGCTAACAACTGTCCGTAACTCCAGTTCCAGGGGATCTGATGCCCTTTTCTGGCCTCTGTGGGCATTGCATTACACGGGTGCACTTAGTTTCATGCAGGTAAACACCTATACACATAAAATTAATAAATAAAGTATTTTTTAAAAGAAATGTTTTTCTTTCTTCATCAATCATGATCAGTAGTTTTCCTGGCTATAATGATCTTGGGTGACAGCCATGTTTTTCGGAACTTGAAGTCCATTATTGTTTGCCCTTCTGGCTTTGAAAATTTATTTTATTTAAATCTTTATTTGTGTGAAGGGTGAACATATGTCACTACATGTGTGTGCAGCTCAGAGAACAGCTTGCAAGAGTCATTTCTGTCCTCCTGCCATTACAGGGCTCGAACTCAGGTTGTCAGGCTTGGCAGCAGTCCTCTACCCGTTGAGCCATCTTGCCCTCCTCCCCTCTTGCTTTTGTTCTTGTTGAGAAGTCAGCTTTTCTTCTGATGGCTTTGACTTTGTGTATGTCTTAGTGTTTCTCTCTTGGAAATTTCAATACACTTTTTGTTCTATATATTTATTGTTTTAAACTACAATATAATGTGGGATGTTTCATTTGTGATCCTATGTATTTGGTGTTCCATATGCCTCTTGTACTTAGATGGGCCTCTCTTCCCCTAGATTTGGGAAATATTTTTGCTATGACTGTACTGAAAATGTTTTACATGACGATGACATGGAATTTCTACTTCTTCTGTGCCTATTATTTGTAGATTTGTTTTTCTCATGGTGTCCCAAAGATCTTGCATGTTTTATTCAATTCTTGCATTAATTAATAACCGTGTGTATGTATGTATGCCATGACACACAAACAACCATGCCTACCTTCAGGGTGGCTCTCATGGACAGAAATTCTAAAAGACATTTCTGTTATTATTTTGTCTGAATGTGTATTTTCCCTCCTTTAAATATTTAATTTTCTCTTCATTGATTTTCCCTTTTTTAAAATGTATTTCTGCCACTGGCTCCCTAACATCTGCTTCCCTCCTCTCATTCCAGCCATTTTAGGCTTTAAATGTTTCTTCTTTAGTTTTTGCCATTTTTCAATTGTTTCTTCCTCTTGTAAATTAATTTTACTTTTAAGCTTTTGGTTTACTCTGCACAGATTCAGGCCTCTCCTTTTTCTCTTTGCTATTCATTTGTCTGAGTTCCATGCTCATCCTTTGGTAAAGTTTCCTTCTAGTTCTTGTTATTATGGGTTGCCTCCTCTTTGTATGTGGTGCTGGGAATTCAAACTCACACTTCAAACACTCTAGACACATTTGCCATTTGTTCATGTTTATTATCTCACTATAGCCAGGATCAACATTCACATGAAACACTTCTTTGTTGTGAAGCCTTAGAGTTTGGCATATGTGGGCTTGCTCAATGCACCTTTACTAAAACTTGAAAATCTTCCTTGCTTCTTGGATAAATTTCTCATCAGTAGGAGGTTTCCTCTGACTGCCAGGCTGCAGGAACTTCTTTACAGTGGGGAGATTACTGATTCTGGTTTTCAGGGCCTGTAATTCAGAAACCACAGCCTCAAAATCCACACTACTTAGGAATAGAGCCCAGGAACTCTGAGACCCTCCTGGAAAAGACCAACTGAGTCCTTCCAACAGTTCTCATGTGGGAAGCTGGAACATGACAAAAATTATGAGCTAGAAAACAGCTCAACATAATTTTCCTTAATTAAGACCTCATTTAGCACATTATTCAGTTACTATTATCCTGTAATCTCAGACATAAACCCTGTAGCTCCCTTTTGTTCTGGTGCAAAGCACATTGTGTCGTTCAGGTACAAAAGAGAGACGTAGCCAAAGGATAGGAAGGCACTGGTGAGTCAAGTTGGAAAGGGACACAGAAGACATTACACTCTAACCAGAGGCAAGGCACAACAGCTCGCACACTGGGAGGTAAAGATGGGGTTGGTGGGGAGTTAGGGACTGGGCATGGTGGGGGCTGTGGAGAGAGAAGTACAGAGCTGAGAGCTGGTGTCAGAGCTCAGGGAAGATATCAGCTTGACAGAGACCCAGGCAGACAGAGTGCAAAGACAGGACACTTCAAGTGAAAGTAATCCCAGAGAGACAGGAATCGGCCTACAGGGAACAGAGCTGGGGAGAGATCTGCTGAGCTCTGGGTCATTCTCATTACAAAAGGCAGAGTATTCTTCTTCGGGTAGCACCCTCCAAATCTCCTTGTATAAAAAGATTATTTTCATTCCTCAAATCCAGGTCCAGTAGCTCAGTTTGGAGGCCTGGGGGCTGGAGGTCAGGACCTCAGTAGGCTCAGGGTTCCTCTATTAGATTCATGAAGGTGAATATGGGGCTGCCTGTGAGGTGAGCTCACCTTCAGAAGAGGGAAGCTTGACAGCAGGCTAGAGTCCAACTCTTCAATGTATAGGAGAAGTTCCAGCAGGTGAATGTCAGCCCTAGTCAGCCTGTTGCCAACAAGGTAATCTTGTCCATGGCTCTTTAACACCTGAAGAATTTGAGGAGTGAGAACACATACATAGTCAAGATGGGTCCACTAGCTTTTCCCAAGTCATTGAAGACAAGTCTGTACCTCTGCTGGGTACTGTGGTGTTCCAGACATTAACTCAGGCCTGAGATTCATGGATGGAGTGAGGAGTGGGGTCTGCTACCTTCTCTTTTTTAAAATTCTGATTTATTCATTTTACATTTATGTATATCTTTTGCTTGCACATATGTAAGTGTGCCCATGCATATAATGCCCATGGAGGCAAGAAGAGGGTTCAGATCCCCTGGAACAGGAGTTACCGACAGTTAACTGCCATGTGGTTGCTGGGAACAGAACCTTGGTCCACTGCAATGGCAGGCACTGCTTTTAACAGTCAAGCCATCTCTCTAGACCCTACCACCTCCTCTTTTAAAGCCCAGGGGACCTTTCATTCCCCTTCCCATGTCCCTTTGGCCTTCACACCATCCACCTTCCCTACATCTTCCACAGATGTTTGGGGCTTAGCTCCTGCCACCTCATGCTTCTCCCCTCACATTAAAAGGGTGGAGCCCTGACATTTCAGGACATTCCTCTCCCTGCTGTGTCTCTGCCCCAGCTCCGGGGGACACTGGCCCCCATGCAGGGCAGCTCTCTAAGCCCCAGAAGAGTACATTTCAGGTCTGTGTTTCTCCTCTTCTCTGCTCTCTTTGCTTCCTGCTTATTTCTCTGATCTGAAGTGATGTGGACAAACTGGAACAGAGCATCTCCGCACAATGTTGGCTCTGACTCCCAACTCTCACTGGGTCACAGTCTGCATGCTGAAGTGCCTAGGGTGGATGAACTGCATTGGTGTCTGCAACTAACTTTATATTGATAAAAGATGAAGGTTGGACTGGTGGACAAATGGTTGGACAGATGGACACACATGATAAAGTCACAGCATAATGTGTAAATACATGTGTGTGACTATGTAGTTATAAACATTATTTCAACTTTTCTAGTTGTGTGAAGTTTGATAACAATACCTTAGGGAAATGTGGTATTTATTTAAATATTCCAGCAATATGGAAATCTTAGATAGCAAAAAGAAAAACACCTATTACATTGTTGACTAAAGGCAAAACACTATTGGTTGGCTTGTCGGTTAACCTATCACACTGCATATGCACATATTGAAAAGTGTTGTTCCTGATCCCTTGCATCCAGATGGACCCAGTTCCTTCTTGAGGTCCTCCCTCTGCTTCCCTGGGTTGCATGGCCTGCCAGCCTCTTTCCTGGATCCCCGGGGCTGAGCTCTCCTTCTGGGGCCACCACTGCTTCCTTTGCATCCTTTGGATCCCTTGCATCCAGATGGACCCAGTTCCTTCTTGAGGTCTCCAAGAGTCCTCTGGGCCTGGTCCTGCCCTCATCTCCCTCTGCTTCCCTGGGCTGCAAAACCCGCCAGCCTCTTTCCTGGATGCTGGGGCTGACCTTTTGGCTTCCTGATTTTTTGCATCCAGACCAACCAGTTCCTCAGTGCAGTCCCCAGGAGCCCTTGGGGCCACTTCCTGCCCCCATCTCCCTTTACATCTCTGAGTGTCACAGCCACCAGCTGCCCGAGGCCAACACCTTTCCTGGGCCTTGCTCCCAGGCCAGTACAACCACCAAATTCCTGAGGCCAAAATCTTTCCTGGAGGGATCCAGACCTTAGGGGAAAGCCTGAAATCATCTGATCCTCATCTGAGTTGGGTCTCTGTGGGAACTCCTGAAGACAAAAGCAATCTGGCCACTCCAATATAAAAT